AAAAAGGCACCTCCCAAAAACCCTAACCAAAACACCCCAAAGCCAAGGTACTGGGGCCTCGACCCTAACCCTAAACCCTAAACCCCTAAACCTAAACCCCTAAACCCCTAAACCCCTGGACCCTAAACCCCAAACCCCAAACCCTAAACCCTAAACCCTAAATCGATTGAGCGGGGCCTTGATCCAGGCAGTGTGGAAGCGGTAGGCACTTTGATCTGCAAACTCGATGTCAACCTTCCAGGGTTTAGGGTTTAGGGTTTAGGGATCCCGCTACCTAAAGGCTATTAAAGGCTCATACCCTACCCCTTTTTCGGGGTACCTAGTTCTCTAGTTAAGATCTAGTATATAGAAATAAAAGTAGGTAACCTCAAAAAGGGGTAGGGTGTGTGCCTCCAGGTATAGGATTAATCATTCTTGGGGTTTCCGGGCTAGGGTTCAAGGGCGAACTCGGGGTCACCCTTCCAACTCGAGCCTCCTAAGGTTAGACGGGGGGCCTCACTTCTCCCAAACGTGTCTGGATTAGGCATGACCGAGAGGCACACACCCTACCCCTTTGTTTCGCTATCTACTTCTCTATATACTAGATCTTAACTAGAGAACTAGGGACCTAACACACGGTAGGTATGAGCCTTCAGATAGGGTTTATGATTCTAGGCTGGGCCGGGAGGTTCATAGCACATGGGGCTCAAGCAGGGGTCTCAAGGGACGAAATAATTGTCTTGGGCGTCGGGAAACCACTATACCCTAAGGCTCCAAGTATACAAGTTGTACCTACTGTGGGATCGAAAGTCTATGAATGGTACCTGCTTTAGGCTAGTTGCAGTCTTTGGGATACTCTAGCGAAGTTATATGGGGAAAGATGCTTGTGGCTGCAATTGCGAAAGCAATCGTACACAGCAGGCCGATGATTCTTGAGCTTCAGTGAGGAAACGGATGAAACCGTGACAAAATCTGGGGGCTTCGCGTCCGATCTCAATACCATCGGTATAGGGGTTAGGTGTTAGGGTAGTGTTGAGGGTGCAGAGTATTGAACAACTCGGGTACCTAAATCGAAGCAGACTCCCTAAACCCTAAACCCTAAACCCCTAAACCCTAAACCCTAAGGTGCTAAGATTGGCACATCAAGAAACCCGCACACACTCAGTCCTGCCAAAGCCCAACCCTAAGGGTCCATGTACCCAAATAATAGAACATTGGCCCTAAAGTACCCATATAGGGACTACATTAAGGCCAATGTTCTACTATTTGGGTACATGGACCCTTAGGGCAAGTCAGCAAACGCAGAGAGAGTGAGAGAGAGAGAGAGAGATCGGAGGCATCAAGACCGAAAACCCTAAACCCTAAACCCTAGCTTTCAACTCGACCATCCGCCAATGTAATGACCCTAACAACCAGGATTGGAGGCCCTAAACCCTACACCCTGCCGGATAGTCGTTCGCTCTCAGGGGCATTTAGTTCCGGTTTAGGGTTTAGGGTTTAGGCTTTAGGGTTTAGGGTTTAGGGTTTAGGGTTTAGGGACTCCAGCTCCCGCAAATAGGAAATAATTACACATGACTATGGATAAGTCTCTGAAGTAGGTCCCTTTTAGTGTCCTTATTATGAGCGTGCCGTACTATATTTGGGATCTAAACCGGTACCCAAGTTTAGAGAATTACCCATAAAACTTTAACTCCTCAAACAAATCTTTTTCGGATCCCCATATCATAATTAAATTTAAGGTCCCTACAAGCCCCTTAGCCCTAAATGGTATCCAGAGGCTCATACCCTACCGTTTCTTGGGTTACCTGCTTTCTGTATGATAGATCCTAGACAAAGACTATGAGCCTATAAGTAAACCCTATTCTTTAAATGCACGGGCTTTGCAATCTCTTGCTTTGTAACGCTCGGGGGCTTCTCTCCTCGTTAACAACGCGGTCCAAAACAGCTCTAATGTTCTAAAATAGGTCTAACACAGCTCTAACGTTCTGAAAAATTGACCGGTTCCGGGCTTATATAGGGTTTTACGGCTGAGGGTTTAGGGTTTAAACCTCTTGCATTGGCTATCTGGAGCTTGAGTCCCGCCTGCTTTCCCTCGTTCACGGGGCGCGCAGTGGCAATTTTCATGCCGCGCGTGGCCCCTATGGGCAGGAGGAGTCCTACATCCTAAATGCTATTGCAGGTTTAGGGTTTAGGGTTTCGGGTCTAGGGTTTAGGGGCCTTAATAATTAGAACAGGGTTAGGGGGTCCATTATGCTATGATTATAATAAGCAGCTCCCACAATAATATAGGCAAGTTATCTACGCCCCTATATTAAACCCTAAGGAATCCTTCCCAAGGTTCCTTTAAGGGAACCTTGGAGGGTGCCTTTTAGGGATCCTTAAGGGTTCCTCTAATAAAGGACTCTTTAAGGGGTCCATCCATGTGCACGTACAGTATATGCCCCTTAGGGGATTCTATGTCGGTACTTTATGGGTAGGCTTCGACGCACTACAGGGGCCCGAAATAGCCTCAACTTGATACCCGTTCTGGTCAGTCAGTAGTTGTGCCCTAACACTTTCACACCTCCTGATCTGCAAACCCCGAACCGCATCCACTTTTGGAAGCCTTCATACTTCCATCACAACCTTAAACAATAAGCGAACCCTACGGCCCGAGAAGCCCGAATCTTTCAATAAGGCAGACAGGGAAATTCCGATGTGTTGCGTCGCAACTCTGATGGCACAGGAACGAGCTTTCTCTATGGTGCTGCCGAAAGTCGTTTGAGGGTTTAAGGTTTCGTGAGTTTGGCGTGCAGATGGCAGGATTCAAAACCCCAAGAAGATCATAGGCTTGCGCGGCCAAGGTTCTTGGTCTGGGCTTTCACATGCAGTCTTCCTAGGATCCTATTACAAGATGTCATTTGATATCCGAACCGATGATCGTCTAGAAATGTACACATCTTGGCCCCCGAAAAGCCAACTGTTCGTGGGGCTTTTGAAGGAAATCCACAAAAGGAGCCCTGACAGAGGCCAAACACCCTAAACCATAAACCCTAAAGCCTAACCCTACACACTGAACCCGGTAACCCTAAACCCTAAACCGCTATACCCTAAACCCGGAACCCCTAAACCCTAAACCCGGTAACCCTAAACCCTAAAAATTAAACGCGTAAACCCTAAACACTAAACCCGGTAACCCTAAACCCTAAACCCTAAACCCTAAACCCTACACCCCAAACCCTAAACCCGGTAAGTCTGAACCCTAAATCCCACATCCGAAGACCTGCGTCCGAAGCAGCTCAATGCACCCAAGTGGCCGAGGACGCCTGGGCCAACCGGGGGGGCTTAGCTCAGAGTTTGGGATTAAGGGTGCAACTGTAGGGTTTCGGGTTTAGCTCAGAGTTAGGGATTAAGGGTGTAGGGTTTAGGGTGTATTGGTTTAGGGCTTGGGGGTTTATGGTTTAGGGTTTAGGGTCAGGGATTAAGGGCGTAGGGAGTAGGGAGTTAGCCCAGAGATAAGGATTAAGGGTGTAGAGAGTAGGGATTTAGTTCGGGGTTAGAGATTAAGGGCGTAGGGAGTAGGGATTTAGCTCAGAGTTAAGGATTAAGGGCGTAGGTAGTAGGGGTTTAGGGCTTGGGGGTTTGAGATCCGAATTTTCGGTGGTCTAAAGGGATGAGCAGCCAGAAATCCCTAAGGGTCGTGGAAATGGTTTCATGAGGGCTCCGCCAAGGGCTCCAGTAAGGGTTTGAAGAAGCGTACCATAAGGATTGAGGGGCGAGATTGAGAGTTAGAAATGGTATCCCTTCAATTTCCCCAGTGTAACTGTGGCAGAAGACTTTGTCCCAAGGAACACTAAGTCAGTACTTAAGCCCTAAATCCTAAACCCTGAACCCTAAACCCTATAGACCCTAAACCCTAAACCCTGAACCCTAACCTGGGCTTTGGGGTTAAGCCCGAACCGTTTGCTCGAAGCCTTGCCTTAGACACACTGCAATGGAGGCCTCAGCAATTTGACCTCACGATTTTTCTGGTTGAGGCAAGGGTTTAGGGTTTGGGGTAAGAGGGTTCCTGCAAGGGCTCCTGTAAGGGTTCCTTTAAGGGTTCCTATGAGGGCTCCTAGGTTTAAGGACGAGATGAACCCTGAAAGGGTTTAAGGTGCAAAAACCATGTAGGGACTCACAGTACAGGGCTATAGGGCCCCTACTTGTACGGGCCATGTGGTCCACCCCTAAACCCTAAACCCTAAACCCTAAACCTTAAACCCTAAAGGACCCTGAAGACCAGCAAGCAGTACATCTCGAAGCCCCGGGGCAGTTGTGGAGTTCAGGCCGTAATGGCGGGATCCTGGAATCAGTATTGACCTGGTGTGTCCGGTTTGAAGGTGTAAGGTTTACGGGTTTTGGGTGTAAGGCTTTTAGGGTTTAGGCTGTAAGGAGATGGTTTTGACGGCCTGGCCCCCAACCCCTAAACACCTACACTCAAAACCCTCTGCCGTCAAAGCACTGCGAGGTGACGACGACATGTTCCGCACCAACGAGCATCGCCCCATCGCGAGCCCGGAGTGAGAAGTTGGCAACCTCAGTCAGCATCGAACTAATTTTACAAGATCCTTAACCATAAGCTACCTAAAAGTTTCCCTAAACCCTAAACCCTAAACCCTTAAAAGGTAGTCAGCAGGATTTAAGCCTCCACAGGCTTTTGCACGATTTGTGGTGGCACGCGGTAAGGGCTCAGGGGATCTTCGCAGCTACCAGTAATGGTAGGAGAACCGCTTAGGCGAAGGTATAACATACAACCCTGATTGCCTTAAGGGCGACATGAACCCCAAAGGGTTTAAGGTTCACATGCCATCATTATAGGGATTCATAGTAAAAGGGTATAGGGCCCATATATATATATATATATATATATTAAGTGTATATATATATATAAGGGCCAGTTGGTCCACAAGGTGTACACAAGGCCCTCTCTGCAGCTCCCAAGGCCGGAACGAGCGAGGTCGCACCTGAGCACCGTCGAGGATGCAGGGTTCAGGGTTTAGGGGTTTAGGGGTTTAGGGTTTAGGGTTTAAGGTTCAGGGTTTTAGGGTTCAGGGTTTAGGGTTTACCCCTGAGGGTCCACTTAAATGCTCCGAGGGACTTAATCAGTAAGGTTGTATGTGAGGCTATCAGTGCCCTAAGTAGGGTTATCCTGATTGTAACCTTCCTTCCTAAGTCCCATGAGCCTCCAAGTAAGGCTTTATGAGGCTGCCGTGCAAGGTTATTTTGCCTTCTACAGATGCGTTCTGGGCCACGGGGGCGTTTGTAGACGATGAACTCCGCGAAGAGGAAGTGCCATAGGGCGCCAAGGCTTGCAGCATCGCCGCGGAGTACGTCTCCTTCGCAGATCAAGCTCCAGAGCAAGTAGGGTTCATGGCCATGTAAAGGTTTGTTCCAGGATTCTGCACGGGTTCAGGATCTAGGTGGCAAGGATTCCATTTAAGTCAAACGAACTCTCCGTCTACCAGGATGCAGATGATCAGCTTGGACCGAAACCCCACCCGAGACTGCGGAATCTTGAACGTCTGAAGCCTTGCATTGAAGACGAATCGTCAAACGCTGAACCCCCAAGTCCTAAATCGCTACAGTGGGAGTGTTCAGACGAGTCTGAACCCACATCATATCATAGCAAGAAAGCTTGCTGGGGCTTCACCGATATTACCCTATCGATTTACCCCTACAAAACCTGGAATTCTTTTCAGCCCTAAACTTTTAAACCTTGTGTACCACATGGTTATCATAAGAGGGGGACTATACCCTTATACTGGGGATTCCTATAATTATGGTATGTGATACCCTAAACCCTAGACCCTAAACCCTAACCTTAAACCCTTTTAGGGTTTAAATCCTCTCGTCCTAAACGAAGTAGGGAACCTGAGAACGGCCAAGTATCTGCGGCAGCATTGGCTGCAAAGTCCCTGACCCGTGCGATCAGCGTGCTCTCCTTCCGAGGGTTTAAGGTTTAGGGTTTAGGGTTTAGAGATGAACCCTTTTATTAATATACCCTGTAGGGATTCATAGTCAGTATAAGGGTATAGTGCTCCTACTTGTGATGACCATGTGGAGCCTGTGCCTCAATTAATGGTGTATCCGAATGTTGTCAAGATCCTGTTCAGGGGTTTAGGGCTTAGGGTTTAGGGTATCTTGCCTTAATATGTTAGAACCCAAATGGTCCTAAGTACCTGCAGAATAGAAAGTAGAGCTTCCAGAAATAATAGGAGCAACCACTATGGTCTGGGTAAGTATTCCCCATATAGGCAATATGGGGGCCTTCATAATTCGAATAGGGTGTTGGGGCCCATTATACTATAACTATAGTCAGGAAACCCCAAAATAGGTAACCTAAGCCCTAACCCTAAACCCTAAACCCACTTTAGGCTCCTATAGTACCTATTAGGATCCTCTCATAAGCCTTAGCCGACTCCCAACCTTGACCCTAAACCCTACTTTCTCCCCCAAAGCCTGTTTAGGGTTTAGGGTTTAGGGTGTATGGTTTAGGGTTTAGGGTTTAGGGTTTAGGGCTTAGGGTTTAGGGTTTAGGGTTTAGGGTTTAGGGCGCTTTAGGGACTGATATAGCAAGGAAATCATTGTAAGGGGCCGTGAAATAGGTAGGTTTCTAATCTTACAGGCAAGGCCTCAATTCCTAGGCTCCAGTTAGCTCATTGCAGGCACTATTTAATCATACCGGCTGAATTCCCAATGCTATTCCCGCTAAGCCCTCAACCCTAAAGCCTAAA